GCAACTTGCCTTTCCTGGCTCGCAGGGTGAGACTGGCGGGGGCATCCAGGATCACAGCCACCAGCTGGTCCTCGTCCCCCACCAGAGCCACTGTGTGTTCTCATGTTCCACGTGGCTGGCTCTTAGGCTGCGTAATGACTTTGAAGTCCTACTGGTCCCAGCCCCATCTCTTCCCACAGAGTGTCCTTGGGACTCGAGGGAGAGAGGGAAGGTGTCTGTCCTTCTCTGCTTCAGGGTACCCTCCTTGCAGAGTCCTCATTCAGGCCTGAGTGCCCTGAGTTGCACTCAGGGAGCCAGAGAGGGAGAAAGCTCTGGCTTGGCCTCCAAAGGCCACTGCAGGCACAGAAGGCAAGTGCAGCTCTGAAATGGGGATGCCCTCAGTTAGTGAGAAGGGGTGACCTCTAGGGACCCCCTTCCCGCCATTGTGCAGCTCTGAGCTGTTTGCTGCTTGAGGGTACTGGCCCATTTCCCTGGGGACAGCTGAACTCATGTCTGCTTGCTGGGGCCTTTGGGGGCGCCCCGATGGTGAGTTAGAAGAAATCTGAGAATGGTCTCAGTGTCCCATGTTAGAGGCGGCAGCAGAGTAGTGACCGAGACAGGACTGAGGCATGAAGACTTCAGGCTCTTCAGGGCAGTTCTGGAGTGGCTCCAGGATAGCAGCTCCTTGGGCTGGTCCCCCCAGAACCCCCTCCACCACCCTGGTGGGTTGTCTGGCACCCCGCAGGCACCCCTGGACTGCCCTGAGAGAGGATGCAATGCAAAGGCACACACGGGGATCTGCTTTGAGGGCCTGACATTTTGGAATGAGCTGGGGTTTGTTTGTGGGCTCCTGCATGTGCCTGACAACATGCAGAATCGGTCATGGTCCCGCCAGTAGGACAGTGAGGAAAACTGCCCCAAGGAGGTCTGGCTCCTGTCCAGGCCCACAAGACTTCACCAGGCCCCGCCATGAATCCAGTTTTCTAGAGGGGGGTGGGGTACGGGTGGTGAACTTTGTCCTGAAGCCTAGCTCCATGCTCAACCCCAACTGCCCATCTCCCCACTGGGCCTGCCTCCCTTGGGAGCCGGCAGGCAAGTTTGGGGCCTCAGGTGGGGCGGGCTTGCTCCTAGATGGGCGGTAGGAAGGGAGTCAGCAGGACCTCAGCTTGGGCCTGGCCCTGAGGCAGAGGAAGCCTGGGTGGGCACCCTCTGGCCATTCAGGAGGGTGGCCTGGGGAGATGGGTGTCCTGGCTTGAGATGGGGCGGAAATCCAGTTGAACATCCAAGCCTTAGTCGGCCTGGTCCAGCCCCATGGCCAGGTACACCCAGGGAGCCGGCAGTAGTAGGGCTTTCAACTCCTTGACCAAGGTGGATTTACTCAGGGCAGCAGACGTCCAGCCGGTCCGAGCTGGGGCTTCTTGCTCTGCCCCGGGCCGGCCGGAGCATTCCTTAGGCCCCTTCGAGTCTTTCTATAAAGATGACCCCAGGCTCGCGGGGTTGGCGGTGTGCTGGGCCAGATGGGACTCGGGACTCCGGGCGGCAGATTGTTGCTCCCCCTGTCCGCTATCTGCGGAGGCGGGGCGGCAGGTTTCCCAGAGGGCGCCTGGCTGCCCCTCTTCTGAAGAGGAACGGGTGGAGGCGGCGAGGAGAGCCAGAGCAGGCTAGACACCAGGGCCCACCGCCGCGCCCTCATCCCTCAGATGTCCCTTTGTCACCTGAAAGGAAAAATGGGTCAGGTCCTGGCGAGGGAGGGGGCAGCAGGGCTGACGCTGGGTGCCTGCCCAGAGCGCGGGCCTCAGATTCCCGCTTGGGCTCCTGGGCCCGTGGCGCCGAGTCCCCTCCCTGCCGGGAGTGGGCAGGTGGCCAGGGACACAGTGGGCCGAGCAGGTCCGTGACCCGCGCCTGTCTCTGCAACAGCCCCGACTTCTCACCTGCGCCCCCGAGCCTTCGGACCGGACCGAGCCGGGGAGCGGTCCCCCCAGCCGCCACCTCTGGGGCCGAGGAGCGGTGACCGCGCGGACCCGGGGGGAAGGGAGGAAGGAGAGACAAAGGCGCGCGCCGGCCCCGCCTCCTTGCGCCGCCCACCATGTGTCAGTCAGAGGCGCGGCGAGGACCCGAGCTCCGCACGGCGAAATGGTGAGATGCCCACGGCTGCGTCCTAACCCCGCCGCACCCCGCCTCGACCTCCGGAAGGTCAGAGTTCACGTCCAGCGGCTCCGCGGTGGTGGCGGCGGCAGGGGGCTAGGGGACCAGCTCCCGCGACTAGAGGGGCCCACTCCGGGGGGCCTGAGTCGGAGAGCCCGCTTCAGGTATTGGTGGGGGCCAGCGGGCTGTTGGTCCAGTGTCCACGCTGCACCCCCGCCCCGCTTGGGCGCAGCTTCTCTGGGATTGGTCCCCGCTCTTCTGCAAAGAGCTGGGTGGGCAGGAGAAACCTGGGGTAGAGGAGTGATGTGTCCGGCTTGGCTTGGCCCCTACCCATTTCGTGGACCTTTTTAAAGGGATGGGAGAGAATGGTTGCAGAGGATCTGGTGAGCAGTGCAGAGGCAGCACCTTTAGGGCCCCCCACTGAGCTGCAGGGCCCGGCCTTTGGGTCAGTTCTCCGTTTTCTCTGCCTTTAGTACCAGCCGTGTGCCTTTGTTCCTTGGTTTGTTGAGCAAGTGGGCGCAGAGGACCGAGCTGCTCTGAGAGCACACAGGCACAGATGGAGCTTCCTCTTCCCATTGAATGTAGTGTTTTTGATGAAACCGAGGCACCAGGACGGTCTCCGAATGGGTGGTAGTGCTGTCTCCTGATGCCCACACTGGGACCTTGAGAGCCTCTAGGTCCTGGCCTGTGGCACGGCGACCTGGGCCTCAGTGTCAAGACTCAGGAAAAACTTACCCCGGTCTCTGGCTCCCTTGAGGCTGAGCCTTTGCAGACTGTACCGAATTGGAGCTGGTGGGGTCGGGGGAAGGTCCACCTACCTTTACTGGAAGGAGGGGCCTGGGTCAGGTGTGTGTGGGCCCAGCAGGCCTGAGGGGTTGGCAGGGAGCTTACCGCCACCACCCCCTGGATTGCTGTGGAGACCCTGAGCTGACTTACAAAGACAGCAGGGTGGATGGAGCAGTAGCTGTGAGGGGTTTGTGTGTGCACCTGCGTGTGTGTTTGTGATCTTATTAGGCCTGAGCCCTTATCAGAGGAGGAAGTAAGAGGCCTGGTCCATGGAGAGATTTAGCTGGGTCTTGTGCTGCCTGAGGCTTGGGGGCTCAGCCTAGCTCTCTTTGAAGCCTGTGTGAACAGAGCTGGCCTTAGGCAGGTGGGGACCGCCCAGTGGGCTGTCTACACTGCCTTCCTGGTGGGCCTAGCCCGACGGTCCGAGATGCGGGTCCCTGGCAGGTTCAGAAGCTATTCTGAGAGGTCTCAACTGACACGCAGGTAGAGACTGGGAGGTGAGCACCGACAGGCAGCCGAGCCCCCGACTCAGAGTGTGGCTGGTATGAGGGGGTCTGGCCAGCGTCACCCGAATCCATGGAGAGGCAGGCGAGCTTGCCGAGGGTGGGGTGGATGGGAAGGGTGGGGCCCCGGTCCTCTGCTGACCTCGGCCGTGCGTGGACATGTGCCCTGCAGGTTGCACTTCCCTCAGCTGGCCCTGAGGCGGAGGCTGGGACAGCTGAGCTGCATGTCCAAACCTGCCCTGAAACTGCGCTCCTGGCCCCTGACGGTCCTCTACTACCTCCTGCCCCTCGGCGCCCTCAGGCCCCTCAGCCGGGTGGGATGGAGGCCTGTGAGCAGGGTAAGTGTGCGGGGGCTGCTGGCCCTGCCTCCCCGCAGCAGGCCTGAGGGGGTGCCCAGTTATCTGGGCAGAGGTGGTGCTGTGGGGCATGAGCCCTTCAACAGATGCTTTTGGAAGGCGAGTTGGTGGAGGGGGTGGGCTGGTCGGTGGCCATGTGGGCTGTAAAGGCCCATCATCCACGGCCTGCTCTCTCTGCCTGCGTTTCTGCCATGTAAGTGCTCTGTTTCTGGAAAGAACCCACATTGGGCAATCAGGAAATGGTGTCTGTTTCATCGCCTGTGTTCAGGCAGAAAAGAGCTTGGAGGTGATTGAGAAGAATCAAGTTTCTGGATGCCAGAGAATAGTTCACACAGGCTAGAGCCTGTGTGGCCTTTGTAGATAGGAGTGCCCTTGAGGACCCAGGAACCCCCAGCAGGCTAGCTGAGGGCCCTGGGCAGCCCAGTGGATGTTGCCCGGCTTGGAAGCTGAAAGTACCTGTGGGGCCCTGGGCATTAGGCCTAGGGTCGCAGGACAGCCCTGGGCCACCCCCACACACGGGTATCCGCTGGGAGTGCTGAGAGCCGCTCGCTCAGTGCCGCTTTAGAGGTGTTTAAAGCTGGGAGTGGAATTGCTCTTGCACCCTGGGGACTTGGTGTCTTGGCAGTGTTCAGCAAGCCACAGCCACTGATTAAAGCAGGTCCCACGATGGCAGTGGCACCTGACGTTTAAGAGCTTGGGCTGGAGGGTCTGACTGAGGTGCAGAGTTCCCTCTCCAGGAGGAGCTTCGGGTGGGGACGGCTGTGTGGACTCTGAGGCCCTTGGAGTCTCGGTGTCAGTGCTCAGCACCTCTGCCCGACAGGCCCTGTGCTCAGGGCAGGCTGAGCGCGTGCACTTGGGTGTGGACTTGCCTGAGCACTGAGAGCCGACTCCTGTGCTGGTCTGGGACACTAGCAGCACTGCCCACCACAGCCTCTGTGTGAGCACATCCAATCCTTGTATGCCCTTCCCCATCCAAGAAACGAGGTAGGAACTCTGCAGGAAATGGCGGATACCTGAGCTATATGAGTCACTGTGTGGAGGCCCAGCCAGTGCTGTGTGTAAAAGACTTGGAAGCTCACTCTGGTTCCTGGTGAGAAATCACCATGTCACAAAGCCCTCGAGGGTCCTGGCTGCTCAGGCCTCAGGAGGTGGTCCCTGTGTGTGTGTGGGGGCGTGGTTTGGGGGCTGAGTGCACGGCGTGGCACACTCACCCGCCCCTTGGGGCCTGCAGGTGGCCTTGTACAAGTCGGTGCCAACACGCTTGCTGTCGCGGGCCTGGGGCCGCCTCAACCAAGTGGAGCTGCCGCAGTGGCTGCGCAGGCCCGTCTACAGCCTGTACATCTGGACCTTCGGGGTGAACATGAAGGAGGCTGCGGTGGAGGACCTGCATCACTACCGCAACCTCAGCGAGTTCTTCCGGCGCAAGCTGAAGCCGCAGGCCCGGCCTGTGTGCGGCCTGCACAGCGTGGTAAGGCCCGACCCGCCTCCCACCCCCGCCTCAGTGCCTTTGGGCACAGTGGGCCTGGTGGGCACTCCTTCCAGCCTGGACCCCCGGGGGGCCGTGGCCCTGTCCTCCACACCCTCCCCTACAGCGAGCCTCTCCTGACCCTTCCAGATCAGCCCCTCAGACGGGAAGATCCTCAACTTCGGACAGGTGAAGAACTGTGAGGTGGAGCAGGTGAAGGGGGTCACCTACTCGCTGGAGTCGTTCCTGGGCCCCCGCACGCCCGCAGAGGACCTGCCCTTCCCCCCAGGTGGGTCCTGGCCCGCGGTGCTGGGCGCCAGCAGGTGGAGGGGTGGGGAGGGAGGGAGGCCTGTGGACAGGAGACCCTCTGCCCGCAGCTCGGGCCTTCCTGCAGCCGGCGTCCAGGCGGCACTTGCAGGGCTCTGAGCAGCGGACCCGTATCTGCCCACAGCCACGCCCCACAGCTCCTTCAGGAGCCAGCTGGTCACGCGTGAAGGGAACGAGCTCTACCACTGCGTCATCTACCTGGCCCCCGGGGACTACCACTGCTTCCACTCCCCCACGGACTGGACCGTCTCCCACAGGCGCCACTTCCCAGGTAGGCTGAGCTGGCTGCCCCCAGGGGCCTCGGCTTCTTCTATCAGAGGCCATGGGCTCCAGAGTTGGGGCAAAGCTGGGGGTGCCCCAGGTTGGGGTCCAGCCTGCTCTGCATCTGGAATGGCAGGCCGGGCGGGGAGTACCCATGTCTGTCCCCACAGGCTCCCTGATGTCCGTGAACCCTGGCATGGCCCGCTGGATCAAAGAGCTCTTCTGCCACAACGAGCGCGTGGTCCTGACCGGGGACTGGAAGCACGGCTTCTTCTCGCTGACGGCCGTGGGGGCCACCAACGTGGGCTCCATCCGCATCTACTTCGACCGGGTGAGCGGGTCCCACTGGAGTCCGAGGGCTGGGCCACTCTGGGCTCCCTGCACCATCTCCTGTGCGGCCAGAGCTGCTGGGGCTGCGATTTCCAGGAAGACGGGTCCCCCACCTGGGTCTAGAGGTGGCTGCAGGGGGAGGGAATTCACCTCCCTGCTTGGCACTTTGCTTTTGCTAGAAACCCAAGGGGAGCCTGGGTGGGGCTGCTGCTGGAGGCCAAGTGTGTGAGGGGCATAGGTCTGGCTCCTCCATTCCCTCCAGCCCCAGTTCACAGCAGGTCAGGGGCTCTCAGCTCAGACCTGGCCCGTGGCCCGAGCTGCTGTCCCCACTTCCCTTCCCGAGCAGGGTGGGGGACAGGGTGTGTCCACGGCCCACATGCTCTGTCCCCGCCTCCCAGGACCTGCACACAAACAGCCCCCGGTACAGCAAGGGCTCCTACAATGACTTCAGCTTCGTGACGCACGCCAACAAGGAGGGCATCCCCATGCGCAAGGGCGAGCACCTGGGCGAGTTTAACCTGGGCTCCACCATCGTGCTCATCTTCGAGGCCCCCAAGGACTTCAACTTCAAGCTGCAAGCAGGACAGAAAATCCGATTCGGGGAGGCTCTGGGCTCCCTCTGAGCCTCCTGCATGGCCGTGGCTGCTGAGGGTCTTTTCAAGGGGAACCTCTGAGGCTGTCTAGCGAGGGCACCGTCACATCTAACCAGGCAGGACCTGGGTGACTTCCATCTCTGCTTCCAGGGTGCAGACGAGGTTGTCAGAACTCATCATGCCCTAGACTGCCATCACCCTCCCTCCCACCCAAAGAGAAAGTGTGGGCCAGGATGACGGATTTTTCCTTTTGGAGTTTTTAACGTCTCATATAAACTGGATCTTTTACCTCCCGGCAGAGCATTCGGTTGGTCGCGATTTCCGTTCTGAGATAAGCGGTAGTTAAGGTACCTTCTTGCTGCTCCTCCTGTCACTGCTTTCTGGCCTCTGCCTCCGCTTCCCCTGCACAGGGTGAGGTGCCTCCTGGCACTGACTGTGGGCCCCACAGTGGGGCTGGTAATGCAGCTGCTTTCTGTCCCCAAATTTGCTCCGCCTTGCTTGCTGGGAAAGGCTGTCCTCTCTTTGCACTTGTGGCTGAACACGTCACCTGCCGAGACTCTGCCAGCAGCTTCCAAGGGTGGCCTCCAGTGGCTCGGTGCTTTGCAGGCCCTGGCGAGTGACCTTTCAGAGCTGGTAGGACCCATTATCGAACCCCCTGCAGTGGTTGCCTAGCTGGGACCAGGGGTGAGCTTGTGTCCCCTCCCTACATCCAGGCCTATGTCAGATATGGAGAAGTTGCTGCTATTGATCAGGGGCTTACACTGGAAACAAAGGAGCCTTGCTGTGGTCTTTGGTGTGTGATGGAGGGGGGTGTCAGTGCCTAGAAAACCCGTCCCCAAGTAACAGATACTAACAGGTACGAAGTCCTTAGGGAGCCAGTGATGGGGGGCGGGGGGAGGGCCAAGTTTCATGGTTCCTGGGGATGCTGTGAATTTCTCCTGCAGGAGAAGCCATTTGAACTTTTTCAACTGTATCAGTAGCACAGTATTTTTGTATGAAAAGTGGGAGACTTCTGAACAGTGATTCATTTAATTGCAACATTTTGAAATAAACTAAAAAACATTGCCGCTCTGCATTCTGTCCCTGGAGGTGGCGACTAGCACAGAGCCTGCCGCAGGGCCTGGACCCGAGCGATGCAGGTGTGGACAGGCTGGCGCCGGGCCTGCAGCTCGTGGGCCAGCTGCTGGATCTGCAGCTCCACCTGAGGGACAGGGGGCTGGCTGAGAGGAAGCCCCACCCAGGAGCCCTCCTGGCCGCCCGCGCCTCACCTTGCGAAGCTGCTCCTGAACCTGCTGCTCAGCTTCCTGGTCCTCAGGCTGGGGCTCCTCCCTGCTCAGCTCTAGCCACCGCCTTAGGCTGTGCGCTTGCCGCTGGCAGGACCTGAGGGCATAAGGCACCTGCTGCCCAGCTTTTGCCCAGGCACAGCCTGCGGCTGGGGGACAAGCACAGCCGCTGGGGGCAGAGGCAGAAAGGCTACCACACCGTCCGCGGCCTGTGCAGAGCAGGCCTTGGGGGACCCAAGCCCTTCCTTCCCCCGGGCGTGGGGGAGGCTGGCTGTGCACCCAGAGGGCACACGCAGGGCACCCTCCCACATGAGTCACATGCGCTGGGCAGACCACCAGCTTCAGGGGCCACAGCTGGGTGTAAAGTTCTGCTCAGCTCTTCTGAGCATTACACCCTCAGGTCCCTGGAGGTGAGACCACCCTGGACCTAAACGAGCTGGACTGAGCGGAGGGCTGTTCCTGGGGACATGGTGTCCCAGTCGGGCCCCTCGGTGGGGCGGCAGCAGTGCTGTGGTCTCACCTGAGGTTCTGCCTCGTGGTCTGGTAGTCCTGCAACTGCTGCCGGATGCCCTCAAGCTCAGCTTCCAGGTCACTGTGGCCAGTGCCCACAGAACAGGCTTGATTTCCGCCAGCCTCCTGGCTCAGTGCAGGATGAGCCGAGCTGCCGGGAGGGGCGCCCCCTCTTGAGGTGCTGACAGGCCCCCGGTACACAGCTGCAGGGTCAGAGCCGGGCCCAGGCCTGGTGCCCCGAAAGTCCCCAGGAAGGAGCAGACGGGGGCTGGGGACACCGGCCAGGGACAAAGGGATCTGGGACGGAAGCCCAGGGGTCATCGGCTGGGCTGACAGCTGCAAGGGAAAGATGACCACTGATCAGGGAAGTGGGAGGAAGATGGGGAGCCAGGGTTCCCCACGCCTGCCGGGGCCAGCTCACCTGGCCTTGCCCTCTTACTTCCACACCCGACCCCACCAGAGGGCCCCCACCACCAGAGCAGCCGCTGCCAGCTTTCACCCCTTCCAACGACCACCGTCGACAATCCGTTGCCCTGGGAAGAACGCTGGTCCAACAGCCCTGCTCCCCTCCCTTCTGGTGACGCCGGCCCCTGGAGGGACGCGATGCTCCCACCCTCTCCCCAGCCTGACTCAGGTCGCAGCCCTTCGGGCACTACTAGCTCCTGTGGGGCCAGCCCAGGGCACACTCAGGCCTCCTCACTTCCCCGTCCCTACTCCTTGATGCTCATGTCACAGGCCCCAGAGTTGCAACCCCTCCTCCCTGTAACCCCTTCAGTTCTCGGGAGATTACCTCCAACCTGTGCTGCTAACTGTCAAATTTGATCCGCAGCCCTGACCTCATTCCTGGAGGCCAGGCTCAATCTGTTGCTTTATCGCAAACCTGACAGTGAGGACTCACTCCATGCTTCACCTGGGTCCCAAGCCACAGCTTCCCTCTCGCAGTAAAAGAACTCATTATTCCCGGAGTCGTTCAGGCTGGAAGCCCAGAAGCCATCCTGGACTCCTTCCCTTCCTCTCAGCAAACCCATCTGAGCAAGCCCTGCCTGCTCTGCCTCCCACAGCGTCCATGCACCATGTCCCAGCCACCAGCACCTTCTGCTGGACCCGCGTCCACAGCCTCTTGTTCACCTAAAGTCCAGCTTCTCCCCGAGGCCTGCATGGCCCTCCGTGGTCCACAGCCTCTACCTCTCTCTGCGTGTGGGGTTTCCTTTCGTCTCCACCTTCGTGTAGGTGTCACAAGCAGGAGCCTCGGGGGCCATTCCCTGCTGTGTCCCCAGGACAGTGGCCCCTACACTGGGTGCGTCTCCCGAGGCAGCGGGCACAGCTTTGGCTGCAGCACTGAGTATGCGAGAAAGCAGCAAAGGCCAGACCCACAACAGGCGCCAGGGGTCTTACCCGAATGGGGACTTGGGCCCCACGTGGCGCAAACGAGGACGGGGGCAGCAGCTCTGGGCCCGGGTGCGCCGTGGGTGGCGGCTTCAGGCCGGGGGCACGTGGCAGGGGGCTGCTTGGGTCCAGCACTGACCAGGCGGGGTCCACTGGCCGGACCTGGTGTAGGCCACGCTCCCACAGGGCCTCAGACCTGAGCGGCGGAGCGGCAGGAGCCCATCAGGCAGCGCCCCCAGAAGAGCGGAAAGGAAAGGGGGCTAGGCCCCAAGGCCCCAGAACTGCAGCACCTACCCCTGCCTGCTGAGGGGGCCGCACCCCAGGGGCGCCTGGCTCTGCAAGGGCTCCACCAGGAAGCTTGGGCGTCGTGGCTGCTTCCGTGCCTGGCGGGCAGCATTGCTGGAAATAAACGAGCTGTTTCTCCACGCTGCCCAGGGCCTGGGACCTTGTGGGCGCAGTCATCCAGCCTGACCCCTGAACTCTCTTGGGGAGACTGGAGGTCAGGTGAGGAAGGCTCTCGCCGCAGGTGCCTCCCTGAAGAGTAACTCCAGGAGCCTGCTGCCTGCGGGCGCCCCATCCACGCCGTCTCACGGGAGCCAAGCGCGGAGGCTGGGGTGTCCCAGAGGGCACCCGTCTCCTGGCTGTGACGGGAGAAGTGGAGAGACTACAGGCCTGGCGGGGAGGGGCTGCCAGGGGGCCCATCCGGGAGGAACAGCAGCCAAGCCCCCAGTGAAGGCCCCACAGAAGCGGGGCAGGATTCTGCTGCAGGGCGGGCCCCCAGTGGCTCGGCCGTGACCCCAGAGCCCCGTGTCCATCCTGTACTGTCCAAGCTCTGCCCCAGGAGGAAGCGAGGAGGACGACGTGAGGGACGGGTACTCACAGCTCCAGGAGCTGGGGGTCCCCGGGGGCTGACGCCAGGCTGTCCAAGGCTCCCCAAAGCCCACAAGGAGCTGGTGGTCTCTTGGTCTCCAGGGGGGCATCGCCAGCCCCGGCAGCAATGTGGCTGGGAAGGGGACGCTCAAACGTCACTCTTCTGCTGGGCTCAGTGGACGCAGGGGGCTGCGGCTCCCTGCCCTGGCCCAGCGCCTTCTGTTTCCAGAGCGTGGCACAGTGACGCACTGCGCGGTGGAGACTGTGGGCCGCCTGCAACCGGCCTCTGGTCAGGTGCTGCTGTGCCTGCCCGCTCCCCACGGGGCTGGGGGGTGGGAACACCCCAGACCCACCTGCACCTGCTGCTGGGCGTGCAGCTGCTGCCGGAAGGCCTTCATGCCCGCCGCAAAGCGCAGGAGGCACTTGACGCCCTCCCTGAGGAGCTGCTGGTGGTAGGCCTGCACCGCCTGCTCCTCCCGCGCCTTCTTCCTCCTCCTCTCCTGCACGAAGCCCTGCCAGGCGGCCCAGGCCTCCAGGGAGAGGAGAGGTGAGGCCCAGCCATCCTACTGAGGCCCCCCTCCCACCAGCTGTGGCCTCTGCTGGGATGGGGAGCCCGTTACCTTTGCCTGCAGGGAGAAGGCCCAGAACCACAGGGCCCGTGCTGTGTGCTGCCGCTCTTGCCTCCTGTCCGCCAGCTACAGGCCAGAAAGGCAGTGTCCCCCTTCAGGGAGGCTCCCGCACGCGGCCCCAGTCACCCTCAGATCCCTCTCCAGCTGCGTCTGGCCCTGCCTGCTCTGAGGCCGGGGATCAAGGAAGCCCCTTGGGAAAGAACCATGTACGCGAGCTCCGGGCTCCGGGGTCAGGAGCTGGGGGCAGCGCTCCAGGCTCCGGGGTCAGGAGCTGGGGGCAGTGCTCCGGGCTCCGGGGAGGAAAGGGACCTGACCCCTGACAGGCCGCCGAGTGCGACACAGCACACAGTCCACCCGGTGTCTTAGCAAAGCCTCAGTAAAGACCTAAAGTGCGTTTCCGATCCATTTCTACATGTTACCCTGATGTGTTTTCAATGGGACACTGCAGGAATGGACTTGGCCTTAGACAGGTTCCCAGGGAAGGAAGCTGGCAGTGCCGGGCAGTGGCTGGGGGGGCTGGCAGTGCTGGGGAGCCCAGGAAGAGGGTGAAACCAACACGAACTGGAGGCGGGCCCAGGAGGGAGCAGGAGGGCTGGGAGAGGGCTTCTCCAGGGCACCCACCTGCCGTTTCCACTGGTGGAAGCAGGCCCGGCTGAGCGTCTGGGCCAGGAGTCGGGCGGCCTGCCTTTGCCGCAGCTGGGGAGACAGCATGCAGTGGGCCGTGGGCTATGTGCCCTGGGCCAGAAGGTACCCACACCCAGAGCTCCCGGGGGCGGTGCGGGCTCCAGGCCCACCGGCACCTCCTCCCACCAGGAGTCGTCCTGGATGAAGTCAAGGGCCTCCTGCACAGACAGAGTGTCCCGATGGCCCTGCAGTTCACCCAACGCTGACAGGTGTGGTTCAGACTGAACGGGTTCCCTGCTGAGCCACCATCCACCCGGGGGAAAGGCTCCCGAGGCCGCTTCCCCAGTCTTCACACAACAACCAGAAAGGCAGCCTTGTGCCCGCAGGACCCCGGCCACCACCATCCACACTGACTGCTGGGAGTGCTTCAGGGAAGACCTTTCCTCGCCGGAACGCCGTCTCCCAGCCCAGACAGCCCGGCCGCGTTGGGGAGCTCGTGGAGTTGCCCGCTGCCTCACCCTCTTCCTAATGCAGCCCTGATGGTGCACCTTCCACCGGGCCAGGGCCTCCTGCAGCAGCTTCTGGCAGTAATGCTGCACTGCCTGCTCCACCTGCACCCTCTGCTGAGCAGCCCTCCGGCTTCGGTCCCGCCAGCGCCAAAACCAGGTCCTGAGACGGCCTGAGACAGATCGGAGTCAGTCAGCTCTTGCGGAGGACACATGTGGACCACTAGTTCTGTGCATGCTAAGTCGCTTCAGTCCTGTCCGACTCTGCGACCCTGTGGACTGCAGCCCGCCAGGCTCCTCTGTCCGTGGGATTCTCCAGGCAAGAACACTGCAGTGGGTTTCCAAGCCCTCCTCCAGGGGACCTTCCCAACCCAGGGATAGAACCTGCCTCTCTTGTCTCCAGTACTGGTAGGTTCTCTACCACTAGCGCCACCTGGGAAGCCCTTATGGACCAGCAGGCAACAGTGAAATTCAGGGTGGAGAACCTGGGTGTGAGACCACCACGTGTGGACATGGCCACTCTGTGAGGACAGCTCTGGCCACCTTCAGAGGCTGCACACACCCTGACAGGAACCAGGTCTATTGATCGCTGGGCCCCCCACCCAACCCCTGAGCCATAGGCCTGTGCACAGCCACCGCAGGTGTGCTAAGACCCATGCAGAGCTGCCTCCAAGAAGCTGCTGGGCTTGAGGCAGTGGGAGGAAACCGAAGCTCAGCAGCCCAGGCTGAGTGGGCCTTAGGAAGCATCACTACGAACAAAGCAAGTGGAGGGGATGGAATTCCAGATGAGCTATTTCAAATCCTAAAAGATGATGCTGTTGAAGTGCTGCATTCAATATGCCAGCAAATTTAGAAAACTCAGCAGTGGTCAGAGGACTGGAAGAGGTCAGTTTTCATTCCAATCCCAAAGAAGCGCAATGCCAAAGAATGCTAAAACTACCGCACAATTGCACTCATTCCACATGCTAGCAAAGTACTGCTCAAAATTCTCCAAGCCAGGCTTCAACAGTATGAACTGTGAACTTCCAGATGTTCGAGCTGGATTTAGAAAAGGCAGAGGAACGAGAGAGCAAATTGCCAACATTCGCCGGATCACAGAAAAAATGAGAATTCCAGAAAAACATCTACTTCTGCTTCACTGAGTATGCTAACACCTTTTATTGTGTGGATCACAGCAAACTGTGAAAAACTCTTAAAGAGATGGGAATACCAGATCACCTTACCTGCCTCTTATGAAGCCTGTCTGCAGGTCAAGAAGCAACAGTTAGAACCAGACATGGAACAATGGACTGGTTCAAAACTGGGAAAGGAATACTTTTAGGCTGTATATTGTCACCTGCTTATTTAACTTATATGCAGAGTACCTGATGCAAAAAGCCAGGCTGCATGAAGCACAAGCTGGAATTAAGATTGCTGGGAGAAATATCAATAACCTCAGATAAGCAGATGACACCAGCCTTATGACAGAAAGCCAAAAGGAACTAAAGAGCTTCTTGATGAAGGTGAAAGAAGAGAGTGAAAAGCTGGCTTAAAACTCAATGTTCAAAAAATGAAGATCATGGCATCTGGTCCCATCATTTCATGGCAAATAGATGGGCAAACAGTGGAAACAGTGACAAATTTTATTTACTTGGGCTCCAAAATCACTGCAGATGTTGACTGCAGCCATGAAATTAAAAGATGTTTGCTCCCTGGAAGACTAGCTATGACAAACCTAGACAGTGTATTAAAAAGTAGAGACATCACTTTGCCAACAAAGGTTCATATAGTCAAAGCTATGGTTTTTCCAGTAGTCATGTATGGATGTGAAGAGTTGGACCATAAAGAAGGCTGAGTGCCAAAGAACTGATGCTTTTGAACCATGGTACTGGAAAAGACTCTTTAGAGTCCCCTGGACTTCAAGAGATCCAAACAGTCCACCCTAAAGGAAATCAGTCCTGAATATTAATTGGAAGCACTGATGCTGAAATTGAAGCTTCAATATTTTGACCACCTGTTGTGAAGAGCCAACTCATCAGAAAAGGCCCTGATACTAAGACTGAAGGCAGGAGGAGAAGGGGGTGACAGAGAACGAGATGGTTGGATGACCTCACTGACTCAATGGACATGAGTTTGAGCAAGCTCTGGGAGACGGCGAAGGACAGGGAAGCCTGGTAGTCCATGGGGTGGCAAAGAGTCAGACTTGACTGAGCGACTGAACCACCACCACCTAGCTTCCGGGCCCCACTTACCCCTACTCAGCACCAGCTGGGCCTCCCTGAGAGCCCCATCCTCCTGCTCTCGGTAATACACCTGCACAGATGCTGCCTCTCGCCACTCAAGCAGGACCTAAGAGGCAGAAGCAGAAGAGTGTGGTCACAGCACGTCGCAACTTCCTGGGGTCACCCCGGCTCTGCGGGTGGCTCCTTATGGAGTGAACAGCATTCATATGGGCTCCAGGAAGCACCTGCTGTCCACACAGACCCAGGCCACCATGCCCAGCCCCCCTTGCAAGAAGCCCTGTATCCCAGGCGATGGGCCCAGAAGAGCTGAACGTCACACAATGTCGTGAAGACATCAAGTCTCACTCAGGCTCTCATCCTACTTGTTAAATGGAAGCTTCATACATGAGGCGCACATGAAATCACAGTAGCAGGAAAGAAGGTGTCTGCCACTTGCTCCTCACAGTCGCGAGCTCCACTCCCCAGAGGCCACCTCCCTTCGGAGCCCCGAGGCCAAGCAGAGCCCTAACCAAGGCCAAGCAGAGCAGGGCAGGGCAGTCACACCGGCCTGGAAACTTCCCCGAGAGCAGACCGGACCCTGACCACGTGGAACTGCTGTCCATCCATGGAGGCTCCAGAGCTGTCAGGACCAGCACCAGGCTCCCAGCAAACTGCCTTCTTCTGAAACGCCCCAGAGTCGAGGACCACCGCCATCACGGCATGTGCATCCTGTCACGTGATATGACTTGTTCCCACAGCCACGCACCCCCAGCACGTGGAACCAGGTCACACCAAGTGATGGCCAATTCCCGCCAACCGTGACCGATGACCTCATGTTCCCGGATGCTCTACGGAAAGCCCCCGAGGCAATAATCCCATGAGGCCGAAGAGCAGCAGGAGTCAGGGAGGCCTCCGCGCTGTACATCCCTTGCTGATACGAGAAGACGTGTGTGGGAAACCCTGGTTCTGGGGAGAGCTGGTTCACAGTCAGTATACGCCCTGCCTTTGTTTTATGGATGTTGGTTCAGAATTCAGTAAAACGAACGAGTAAACAAGCTCGCCTGCCGGCCCAGCTGTGTGTGTGCAGAAGGGCGCTGTCTCTTGTTCCGGGCTCCTTGTTCAGTTCACGCCTTTGGAGCCACTTCCAGGCCGCCCCCTCGCAGGAAAGTGGCCCCAGCCCCCCAGGCCACCAGCTGGCCCACAGGGCTCACCTTGGAGCATAGCGTCCTTCTGTAGTGAGCTGCCGCCTGGGACATCTTCTTCGCTTCGTCCGCTTGGGCCACGGTGTTCTCTCTCCAGCGACGTAACACACGCCTGCAGGCACACGTGGGGACAGGGTGACCTGGGGGTGGGCAGTGAGAGGCTCTTCAGCTCGGTCGTGAACCGAGGTCTTCCCACACCCTAGCGTGTCTGTCGCACACCGATTTATGTAGACTGCAAACCCCGCACGCGGCTGAGCGGTGCCGTGGGAGTTCCATGGCACCGCGGCCTCGTGCATTCAGGCACCACAGGGAACTCAGGGCTGCAACAGGCGATGACGACACAGGCGATGCACCCACGATGAGAAAGGCAGACGGGAAGATGGAGGGGGGCACGGGCAGCCTGGAACAGCAGGTGCTGAACAGACTGAGGCAGGGGGAGAAACCAGCAGAGCCGAAGGGCATGAGTGAGTCCACGGGTGTGAGATGCAGACGGCCCCAGGCTGGAGAGAGGCCTGGAGCAGGGGGTGGGGGTGAGGGCGGGGGCCTGGGAGCAGAGCAGCGGTGACAAGGCCCCTCCCGCAGGTCTGAACGGGGCAGGGAGAGGCACTCAGATGAACGAGACACGCGGGAGACAGCGCAGGAGCCTCCCTGAGGCCCCGCTCAGCACGCGGAGCACAGCACCAGCACTGGACACCAAAGCCTCGCTCAGCAGCAGGCGGCGGCCAGGCGCAACTGCCAGACCCTGGGCGGGGCCCCCCCAGCCTGCCGGGGTCTGCAGCCTGCTCCCCGGTCCCTGGGCAGTGCCGGGGAAGCGCGGACTCACCGCAGTAGCCGCCTCTTGTGCTGGCTCTCCCTGGCAGCCACCTCTTGCAGCACGCGCCGCACTCGGCTCTGATACACCTGCAGGCAACCAGGAGGACTGGAGGGCCCGGGCCGCAGCGCTCCCCGCCCGGGGGGCAGCCACAGAGGTGCACGGCCTGATGCCCGGAGCAGGCACCACAGAGGGCAGGGAGCGGCCAGGAGCCCAGCCAGCGACAGGGAGAGGACTGGCTATGCCCTCACCTGGCAAGTCCAGCCCCCAGGCCCCCGGCCCCTGGGGAAGGATGGGGAACTAGCTGAGGGGTGTAAGACCCACTGGCAGGGCACTTGCTCTGAGGCTTGTGGAATTACTACCTCGGGAGGGCGGGAGGAACAAGGAAGGGGAACAAAGCCTTTGGAATACCCTCCCTGCCAGCCGAGGAGGTCTGGGGGACGGCGGCCTCTCGTACCCCCAGGTCTGCAGCGCCCTGCAGCAAGCCGTGCTGGTGGTGCAGGTTGGCGCGTGCCAGCTTCTGCCACTCGGCACTGCGCAGGGCCCGGCGCTGCGGAGAGGAGAGAGCTGGCCGCCGCGGGCCCAGGGCTGAGCAGGGCTCGGCCGTGCCTCAGGCTCACTCTTGGTTTGGGGGAGCTCGGGTAAAGTGGTTATTAACCCCAAGCCCAGCATCCTCCTCTGTAAACACACAGTTCTTAGAGGGCAGTGAGGATGACACGGGGCAAACGCCTCCTGCGGTCAGTGCGAACCAGTATCAGTGTGAACATTTTTCACCCTGAAGAGGATGTCTGTGAACCGTTAGACCAGGAGCTTTAGACTCAGAGCGTCCAGAAGGAATAGCCTGGCACCTAGCACAGCAGGGACCTGTGAGCCAGTCGTCCCATAAAACCAGCGGGGCACTCACTCCGCCTGGCCTCCCCCACACACTCAGGGGCGGGGGGTTTCCGCGGGCCCGCAGAGGAGACCATGTGTTCGTCCCGAGTCACCTCGGTGAGGCTCCACCCATCCACAGCCCCAGGCGGGTGGCGCCCGTGCCAAAGCCTCACCTCCTGCCACCTGGTCCAGGCCCAGCGCAGAAGCCACGCCGCGTGGAACCGTACAGCCCGCACATTGCCCGTCCTCCTGTGGGGAGACAGCTGGTGCTCAGCCCAGACCCTGCGAAGGCCCTCTCGAGGGGCACCCCACTGCAGCCTGGACCCTGCCCAGGGAGTCTTAAACATGCAGGGGAATCAAGACCCTTTGGGAACAGCTGCCAAAGGATTTGGGCATTCCACCCAGAACAGCACTCGTACAGCCCAATTTTTGTGGACAAATTCACAGGGCTCTGCGTTCATGCGGGAACAGGTATCTGAGGAGAAGGTTCAACGTGGCCATAGTTCGAGAGGTGGCAGACCCTCGGAGGACAAAGCGGCCCAAGAGAGGAACAAGGGCAGGATGACGCCTGCAGGGCACACGGGGGTGTCCACCCTGCTCCCTGACTATGGGGTGTGGTGAAACTGCCACAGCCTGCCACAGCCACAGGCGCTTCAAGTGGCCCCAATCAGGGAGCAGGATGGAGCTGACAGGTAGGACCTCAGGTCAATAGGCCCTGCTGACCAGTCGAGTTCCTGAGCCCAGAGATCCACGAGTGCCCCAGAAGCCTCTCACTGCAGCCCTGGTTTTGCTTAGACTGTTTCAAGTTGAATTTCTGGGACTTAAGACCAGAATCCAGGCTGACACGACGACCACTCCCCCACCCCTCCATCGGCCGACACTCAGAGCTAACAGTCTGCCACCACAGTCAAAGCTGCCCCGAGCCGGGAAGGGTTTCTGAGGCACAAGTGGCCACTCACTCTGTTCTGAGCCCTCGGGCGCCCTCTCTCCAGACATAGAAGGCCTTCCTGAGCCGCCCGAGGTGGTGGTGGGCACAGGCCAGTGCATGCCGCTGCCGCTCCAGGTGGTGTGCCGCTGCCTGCTGGCGCCACGTGGACCACGACTTCTGCAGAAGGTGCCGTTCTGCATGGAGCACAGCCTGTGGCAGGAGAGATTGGAAGGGTCACAGAGGCGCCAGTAGGGAAGCCAGGAAAAGCCCAGGCCACGAACGATGACCAAGGCGGAAGAGCTGGAGGTACAGGAGCTGGGCAGGCCCAGAAACCATCTGCAGACTCCACTAACAAGGAAACAAACGCCAGGCCCTGCCCTGGCCTCATGAATCCTGGCTGCAGGTGGGTCGCCCTGCAGTATGGGTCTGGGTCCAGCAGCATCCTCAGGGGCAAGGCGCCCGGTGCAAAGCCCTGCAGCAGGCCCTGCGCGTCCTGGCCACCTCCCCGGGGGAACCACTCACCATCCTCTCTGCTAAGCGGTGTTCCCGATGCTGAGACATCTTCTGACACCAGACAGCAAACACCTGCTTCTCTAACATCTCCCTGAGAGAATCAAGTGAATAACAGGAGAGCACTTAACTCCACAGGAATGAGAAGTTCCACATGACCGGATTTTTTCCCTTATGTTAAGAACCAAATGAGCCCAGGTGGGGAGCAAGGACAGCAGACAGAAGCCAAACCCCCCGAATGACCCAACACTTTCCGTGCTGCTTCCGGCCTCACCCACACGGCGTGAAGATGACTCAGACTTGGAGACCCTGTTTCTTCCTGCGCCCCATGCTGAATTACCCACAGTGCTTCACAGGCAAAGGGGAAGCCCTTCCAGTCCCAGCTGAGCAGCCAGGTTGCTGCTACACACATCCTTAGGGGAAGCAGTTAAAAACAAAGCTGAGCTGGGCCCCAGGAAAAAGAAGTTTAAACAAGTATTTCAGGTGAAGTGGACAGAGAGATGGTCTGCACCTCTGCCCAGGCCTACCTGCACACCATAATGACATCAAAACCTGCAAAAGCAGCACTGGGACAACTGGTCAACAGCCTGCAGGGGCTGTGCCTTGGCAAAAGCCATCAGGACTGACGCTGGGGGACGGGAGATGGCGACCGGCGTTTAACCTGTCGGACACACCACTCAGAACAAAGAACTCCACTTCCTGCCAGGACACTGCAACCTGTCCTGGGCCTGAGCTCCAGCCACGTGGTACAAACTGGGACAAGATACACGAAGTTACTGCTTCCAGGCACCGCAGGTGTGATCATCGCACAAGGGACAGGGAACGTGCAAGGTGAGCCCCGTTTTCCCTGGGGGCACCTTCTGGACCCTAGGGACAGGGGAGGGAGGCCAGGGAGAGCACGACAATCTCACTGAGCTGAGGCAGAGACTGCAAATTATTTCTTAGAATCCCCAAATCACAAATTATCAAAGGAAAAAAAAATCAAGGAATTGGACTGTACTGAAACACTTCCACTCACAAAAAAACAAAAACAAAAAACACTGTTAATTCATGTCAGTACATATGTATTCACCTACTTTGCTCTCAGGTAAAACAAATACTGTTAGAAAATGAAAAAGCCAGCCACATCCTGGAAGAGAATATTTTCAATACCCTAGTCCAACAAAGAACTGGTATCCAGAAAATATTTTTAAAATCTCCTACAAATCAATAACAGTTTTTAAAAGACACTCAATTTTTTAAAAACTAGGAGAAAGACTTGAACGGACACCTCCCAAAAGGTATAAAGTGGTCAGTGAGCACGTGATAAAGGCCAAAAGGATCAAAACCTGTCTGGTATTCCAAGGATGAAAATCAGCTCAGACTGAAAAGCATAAATGCAGCCTGATCGTGCATCAGGTCTGGAGGACGGCCACACTTGATGAAGACAACCACGAGTCAAGCCTGCTTCTCCCTCGGCAACACAGCAGCTGTCAGACGCCACGAGGACCCCCTCGCCCTCAGCAGTGACGCCCAGACAAGTTCTGCCATGACCACTCACTCCCGAGGACACTCACCATGGCAGAGATCCCGAGTGAGTCCCCACCTCTCAACCTGCCTGTCTGGCCTCAGAAACAGCGATCCGTGCAAAATGGACCCCTCTTTCTCTTAGAGCCTCCTCGGTTACAAATTCCCTTCCCTCGGATACAGAGCAGCACTCCAGAGTTCCCTGCTTCCTGGCAGTCAATCTGACTTGGTCAAATTACACAGGTCCTATTTCTGGCTCATTAGGCTTTAAGGCAGAGACGTCACTTTGCTGACAAAGGCCTGGTCAGTCAAGGCTGTGGGCTCCCCCGATAGCTCAGTTGATAAAGACCCTGGTTCGATTCCTGGGTTGGGAAGATACGCTGGAGAAGGTAGGCTACCCACTCCAGTATTCTTGGGCTTCCCTGGTGGCTCAGGTGGTGAAGAATCCGCCTGCAATGCGGGAGACCTGGGTTCGATCCCTGGGTTGGGAAGATCCCCTGGAGGAGGAAAAGGCCACCCACTCCAGTATTCTGGTCTGGGGAATTCCATGGACTGTATAGTCCATGGGGTCATAAAGAGTCGGACACGGCTGAGCGACTTTCACGGTTTTTCCAGCAGTCATGTACGGACGTGAGAGTTTGACCATAAAAAAGGCTGAGCGAATCACTGACTCGCGTTTGAGCATGAGTTTGAGCAAATTCCAGGAGACAGTGAAGGACAGCAAAGCCTAGTGTGCTGCAGTCCATGAGGTCTCAAAGAGTCTGACATGACTTAGCAAATGAACAACAACAATAAGGCTTTAAAGAAACGCTGTACATCATTAGTCATCAGGAAAATGAAACAGCTCTCCACATACCCACCGAAATGGCGAAGCTGAAAAGACTTCAAGAACAAATGTTGGGGCTTCCCTGGCAGTACAGTGGTTGAGAATCCGCCTTGTAATGCAAGGGACACAAGTTCGATCCCGGATTTGGGAAGATCCCACATGCTGTGCAACAACTAAGCCCATGAGCCACAACTAATGAACCTATGCTTTAGCACCCTTAAGCCCCACCTACTGAAGCCCACGTGCCCTAGAGCCTGTGCTCAGCAACAAGAGAAGCCACTGCAATGAGAAGTCTGCCCACCGTTAACTAGAGAGCAGCCTCCACTCGCCATAAGCAGAGAAAAGCCCGTGAAGCAACAAAAACCCAGCACAACCAAAAATGAAAAAATAAAACATTTTAATGTTGGTGAGGATGCTGGAGCAACCAGAATCCTCGGATTTTCTGGTGTGAGCAGAAAATGATATAGCCACCTACAAGATTAAGCAGATGCCCACCCTCTGACCCAGAAGTCCACTTCAAGGTATCTACCCAAAAGAAGTGAAAACATACTCCACTAAAATAAAATGTCCACAGCAGCCTTAGGCACAATGGCCTCAAACTGGAAAACAATTCCTATGTTAAAACAGATCAAAAGTGTCTCAGATTCATACAATAGAATACTACTCAGCAAATTAAAAACAGCTATAGATACATGCTAAATAACCTGGCTCAATCTCAAAAACATTAGGCTGAACTTTAAAAGACTCGAAGACACAGTACAGCAGGTGCTGTACGATCCCACTGTGCAAAGTTCAAAAGCACGCAAAAATGAACCTAGAATGGCAGAACGCAGAACAGGGATTACTCATTAGGGTAGGAGCTGACTGGAAAAGGGCAAGAAGGAACTCTCTGGGATGATGGAAGCATTCTGTATCTTAGCTGTGGTGCTAGTTATCCTGGGACGCAATTTGTAAAAATTCAATCTACTTACTTAACATCTATACCTTTTACTGTATGTAAATTTTAGCTCAATTTAAACAAAAGGCAAATGGTACTGCCTGATTCTCAGTATTTCACTGGCAGGTTAATAAACTATTATTTTTAGTCATAATTCATGAGATTCCACATAAATTTAGATTCTTGAAATATTTTTTAAAAAAGTACCCCGAGAATTATGGAAAGATAGAACACACACATTTTTTGGAACTTTGATTTGCTAAACTCCAAACCAGACCATGGACATTAACTTACCCTAAGAGCCACATATCAGTTCCAGGGAATGGGTTATCTTACTCAATGGTCATGGCAACCCCGTGGGATACTATCAATCCATCTCCATTTCACATTTGAGGAAACGGGCTCAGAGAGACTGAGTGACTTGCCCAGAGTTGCAGAGCTGCCAAGCGTGAAGTGTGGGTCTGAACTCAGTCAGGCCTGTCAGCTTCTAAGTCAGATTCTCAATCTCTTTGCCTTCTTGTGAACCAGGAAGGCAGGAACCTGAAAAACTAAGTTTTCTTAAAAGATCCAACTAAACCCAAACAAGTAATGTCTAGATCTTCTTCACCAGCCTTCAAGCCTCCATCTGACTCCCTGCCTTGATTCTCCTCCTACCCTTTTGCCTCGAGTGATGGTTCTAAACTCGCCCAAGTGATGCCGACCACATCCCTTTTAGGAGCTCCTCTGGGCTTCTTTGAAGGTGCCCTTGATTTCTGGTCCCCACAACATGCCAAAATGCAAACAAGCAAGCAACAGAACCAGCTCATTTGTAAAGGAAACGTCTGTTTTAGGTAGTGAAGCCATTTGTTGAATGCCTCTTACATTAGACCTCAGTATAGAAACTAAGGCAATGACCCAGCAATCCCACTTCTGGGCATACACACCGAGGAAACCAGATCTGAAAGAGACACGTGCACCCCAATGTTCATCGCAGCACTGTTTATAATAGCCAGGACATGGAAGCAACCTAGATGCCCATCAGCAGACGAATGGATAAGGAAGCTGTGGTACATATACACCATGGAATATTACTCAGCCACTAAAAAGAATTCATTTGAATCAGTTCTAATGAGATGGATGAAACTGGAGGCCATTATACAGAGTGAAGTAAGCCAGAAAGATAAAGAACATTACAGCATACTAACACATATATATGGAATTTAGAAAGATGGTAACGGTAACCCTATATGCAAAACAGAAAAAGAGACACAGATGTATAGAACAGACTTTTGGACTCTGTGGGAGAAGGCGAGGGTGGGATGTTTCAAGAGAACAGCATCGAAACATGTATATTATCTAGGGTGAAACAGATCACCAGCCCAGGCTGGATGCATGAGACAAGTGCTCGGGCCTGGTGCACTGGGAAGACCCAGAGGGATCGGGTGGAGAGGGAGGTGGGAAGGGGGATCGGGATGGGGAATACATGTAAATCCATGGCTGATTCATGTCAATGTATGACAAAACCCACTACAATATTGTAAAGTAATTAGCCTCCAACTAATAAAAATAAATGAAAAAAAAAAACAAGGCAAAAAAAAAAAGAAACTAAGGCAAAGCCCCTCTCTGCAGCAGAGGAGGCAGAGATAAGTGCCAGCCTCTTTGCTTTGTGGCGGCCCCCTAAAAGTACCTTCTTGAACTTAGTGTAAGGAGCCCAGGGTTCTGGCTGATCCTCTCAAACCAGTGTCTGGCATCCTCCAAAGCCAAGTGCATGTCCACTTCTCCCAGTGCAGATCCCTCCCGCCGTGTCTGTCCTCAGTTGATGCACACTGTCCTCAGGGCAACAGCCAAAACTGTCACCAGTTCCATGCACCTGCTCAAACACCTGTCCATGATCTACCTGAAGGATCAGGCAGTCCCTCAGTCTGGCCCTCCTCGTCCCACCATCCACTCTCCCCCATCCCCAAAGCAAGCCTCCCCAGGGCACACCCCCTCAGCACCAGCTCTGAACTCTGGAAGAACCTGTGTTGACATTCTGAGGACACACGGTCTGTTCTTTAGGATTGCTGGAGTATAAGTGTCTCCTCCTCACCAAGATTTAAAGTTCCTACCAAGGCACAGTGTTCCAAAATCACTGCAGATGGTGACTGCAGCCATGGAATTAAAAGACGCTTACTCCTTAGAAGGAAAGTTATGACCAACCTAGACAGCATATTAAAAAGCAGAGACATTACTTTGCCAACAAAAGTCCATCTAGTCAAGGCTATGGTTTTTCCACTAGTCATGTATGGGTGTGTGAGTTGGACTATAAAGAAAGCTGAGCACTGAAGAATTGATGCTTTTGAACTGTGGTGTTGGAGAAGACTCTTGAGAGTCCCTTGGACTGCAGGGAGATCCAACCAGTTCATCCTAAAGGAAATCAGTCCTGGGTGTTCACTGGAAGGTCTGATGTTGAAGCTGAAACTCCAATACTTTGGCCACCTGATGCAGAGAGCTGACTCATTTGAAAAGACCCTGATGCTGGGAAAGATTGAGGGCAGGAGAAGGGGACCACAGAGGATGAGATGGATGGATGGCATCACCAACTCAATGGACATGAGTTTGGGTAAACTCCGGGAGTTGGTGATGGACATGGAGGCCTGGTGTGCTGCAGTCCATGGGGTCGCAAACAGTTGGACACGACTGAGCGACTGGACTGAACCAAGTCATAAAAAGACTTTCCTCCTGATCCAGCAGGAAGTGCTTGGACTTTGGAATCAGGGAGACCTGAATGTAAGCATTGGTTGTTGGTACATGGATGAGTCATTTATCACTTTGAACCTGTTCTCTCCGGGCTGCTGTGAGAAGGAAATTATTACTGAAGATGATGTTGTCACAGGCAAATGGGCTTCTGTATTTTCCATTCTCCCCTCGCACCACACCTACACCTCTGTGGCCGACAGTTAGTCATTAATGACCTCTTCACTCTATTCCACTAATAGGTGGCGTGAACTTGCTCTGGGCAAGTCTGCCCCCCAAGGGAGCTAAAAGGATGGAGCTCTGCCCACCCTAACTTTGTTGACAATTAATACTTTCAAGGCTTCAAAAAGTCAGGTCGAGGGACTTCCCTGGTGGCCTAGTAGTTAAGAAACTGCCTTCCAATGGGAGGGACACAGGTCCCTGGTTGATCCCTGGTTGGGGAACTAAGATCCCACATGCCACGGGGCAACTAAGCCCACACTTGCCACAACTAAAGAAGTTCATGCACCCCAACGATGACCCCCATCCATCAAGAGGAAAACAAAAAAATGGTCTAGCAGAAGAGGAGCCAAGCAGCCAAGCATTTCAGGGAAATCACGCTCAAGAAAGCTGGCCAAGGTGATGCGACGTCCAACCACACTCTGATCTGGGAAGCTGATGGGCAGCTTTAAAGCAGCTCACTGTGGCTCGTGATGGGGGAAGGGATGTAAAACCAGGGCAGTTCTCGAAGCGCTTGTACAAAGATGGGCAAATGTTTCCCAGGGGAAACACGGGCTGTCTCTTCCTGGCAGATGAGCTCAATGAGCCCACACTGTTGAAAATCCAGGAAGAACTCGGGCCGAGGGCGCTGGCAGGCTGAGAGACAGAACAAAGTGCTTCATGGCCAGCAGACCCGGACCTGAGACGCGCGGCTGGGTGCTGAGAAGAGGTGCACAGGGTACCTGTGAAAGCACGCGGCCTGGGCCTTGAGCGCTTGCTGCTGCTGACGCCACCGCCAGAGTCTCCTCCAGGCCTGGAAGGCTGCAGGCAGGGCTCTCTGCTGGAAGTGGCCGTCTGCTCTGGCCTGCAACAGCTGAAGTGGAAACCATGAATGACCATTTGTACTTTATGTTAAAAAAGAAAAAAGTCTTTCAAGGTCACATTCTCAAGGGAGGACTGCTTCTGATACAAACACCTTTTAAAATGAAAATCATTACTTTTAATTTCTGCCAACATGACAGGTGAAAAATGAAATGACAGGTGGAAAACTTTCCCTTTCATTAAAAGTGAATTAAGCGTCTCTCCATACATTTGACCCCATATGTGTGTGTATATATATTTATCTAACTTTTTCTCCTATGGCTCAAGTGTTCATCCTCATTGCCCAGTTTACTGTCAGCATTTAACTCAGTGACATATATGGGTTTTTTAAACCTTAAATTTATTAGTCCTCTTGTCATGTGTGTTATCAATTTTGTTTCTACCCTATATCTTCTGATTTTATAATACTTACTTGAAATACAGAGTCTTTAAATTTTTATGTAATTATAAAAGGCTAGTTAATCTACCACAGGCCCAGTAAAACCCACCATATGACCCAGAAACCCCACTATTGGGCATATACCCTGAGAAAACTATAACCAAAAAGGACACATGTACCCAATGTCCGCAGCAGCACTGTTTACCACAGCCAGGACATGGAAGCAATCTAAACGTCCATCAACAGATGAATGGAAAAAGAAGTTGTGGTATAAATATATGTCAGAATAAAGATATATATACATCAGAATATTACTCAGCCATAAAAAAGAATGAATTTGAGTCAGTTCTAGTGAGTTGGACGAACCTAGATCCTGTTACAGAGTGCAGGAAATCAGAAAAACAAATATAGCATATTAATGCATATATATGGAATCTAAAAAAATGATACTGTTTGCAGGGAAGGACTGGGGATACAGATGTGGAGAATGGGCTTGTGGACACAGTGGGGGAGGGAGCCAGTGGGAGAATGGAGAAGTAGCATCAACATATATACACTCTCAGGTGTCAGACGGATAGCTGGTGAGAAGCTGCCGTCTACCACAGGGAGCCCCGTCTGGCCCTCTGTGGTGACTGAGAGGGGTCTGATGGGGGATGGGGGATGTATGTATGATTATGGCTGATTTGTACTGTAGTATGGCAGAAGCCAACACAAGTTAGAATGAAAAAACATGTATATTTAAATAAAAAATAGGAAAAAAAAAAAGGTTACTACTGTTCTGTCCAGTTTTAAGCTGGCTTAAACTTCAGAACATTCAGAAAACTAAGATCATGGCATCTGATCCCAACACTCCATGGCAAATAGATGGAGGAAGAAAACGGGAAGAGTGACAGACTTTATTTTCCTGGGCTCTAAAATCACTGCGGATGGTGATAGCAGCATGAAATTAAAAGACACTTGCTCTTCGGAAGAAAACTTTTGATAAACCTAGACAGAGTATTAAAAAGCAGAAACATCACTTTGCTGGTTTTTCCAGTAGTCACGTACAGATGCGAGAGTTGGACCATAAAGAAGGCTGAGCACTGAAGAACTGATGCTTTTGAACTGTGGTGCTAGAGAAGACTCTCGAGAGTCCCTTAGACAGCACAGAGATCAAACCAGTCAATCCTAAAGGAAATCAACCCTCAGTATTCATTGGAAGGACTGATGCTGAAGCTTCAATACTTGGGCCACCTGATGTGAAGAGATGACTCACTGGAAAAGACCCTGATGCTGGGAAAGATTGAGGGCAGGAGAAGAGGGTGACAGAGAGTGAGATGGTTGGATGGCATCATTGACTCAACAGACGTGAGTTTGGGCAAACTCCAGGAGGTAGTGAAGGACAGGGAAGCCTGGTGTGCTGCAGCCTATGGGGTCACAAAGAGTTGGACACGGCTGAAGGACTGAACAAAAACAACCACTATTCTATGGATACATCAGTAGGAAGACATACCACTGATAGAATGATACATATGCCTCCATGATACAAAATCTTGGGGCAGGCGGGCGGGCGGGGGGTGGAGCATACACATGTGTGGTGGTTTTTAAGATAGGGCTGGCTGCAGGGCATTCCCTGTCAGCCCAGTGGCTAGGGCTTTCACCACAGGGGGCACGGGTGCCATCCCTGGTTGGGGAACTAAAACCCTCATGCCTTGGCCGAAAACAGTAACAACAAATAAAACAAGATTGCAGACTCTTTGATCTTCCTCCCCTTGCACCTGGGTGGACCATGGCTACTTGGAACAGTGGTGAAAGTGACACTAAGTGACCTCCAAGGCTAGGTCACAAAGGGCCACACAGCTCCTGTCCTGTTCGTGGGAACACGCGTGGAGCCCTGAGCTACAGCACAGGAAGTCTGCTACCCAGGGGCCGCCATGCTGGAAAAGCGCCCGGGCCCCTGGGGAAGGCCATGCGTACGCTCGCTCGTTAACAGTCCCCGTGGAGCCCTATCTTTGAGTCACTCCAGCCTAGGAGCCAGACGAGTGAGTGAAGAAACTAAGCTCAGTGACTCCAACCCCTGCCACTAGAACTTACCAGCAGAAGCCCCGGTGACGCGGAGCAGAGACCAGTCATCCTTGCTATGTCCTCTCTCAACTTTTTACCCACAGAATCCTTCAAACATAATAAAATGGTGGTGTTTTAATCCACTGAGTTTGGGGTGATTTTTTTTTTTACAGAGCAATAGAAAATTTCACAGCATGCCTACGTGTGTGTTTGTGAATATATGGGTACACATACTCCTACTCACACAGAGGGAAAAAAATATCAGGTTTACTCACCAAATGTCATCTTAGAGGCAGGATTATGGGTGTTTTAATTTTTTCTTTTTTATGTCTTTTCTACACTTCTCAAGTTTTCTGTGATGTCTACCTATTGCTTATGGGCATTTTCAAGTATAAACAATAGTAGAAGCAATAATATAACGAATCCCCACGGATTTCTCACCCAGCTTCAACAACAAGCAAATGTTCTTGCCATTCTTTGTAATATCACTTCTTAAATAGAAGGAAACATATAATAAATTACATTTTTATCTTTTCCTAAAATAAAAGGAACTGCCGTGTTCCTGGATCTCTAAACCAAGAGATAACACTCAGACTGTTAGCTACAGGCTTTTAAAAACACAACAGCTGAGCAGGGCTCTTGCTGTTTCTCAGACTGTCCCCTGTGTGGGCTGCGCTAGAGGCCTGTACGGATAAGGACTCTGACCCTTGACCTCCTTCCAGTGCTGGGCCCCAGGGTTGAGCGGATCTCTTTTTTTCAGGGAGAAACTCAATGACACCCTTTGCTTCTTTTCCACCTTGAATAAACATAACCTTTCAACTCAGGGGCTCACATTCTTTTTCTAAAAGGGCTCTTTCTTCACATTCTGTTGTGCTTGCATTAAATGACCTTGAGAGACTAAGTGGCAATGCCCTTCCCAAAACAGCCACATAATCCAAAGGGACGTCAAAGAATGCACCAATTCTAAGCATTTTCCAGGTGTGGAAGGCAAAGGTGACACAGAAACGACCCATGGCCTGGGTCAGTCCCAAACACCCAGCACTGGGGTGGTCCTTGGGGTAAAGTCTGAAGCAGTCAGCAGCGGGTCATCTGTTTGTTCACCATGTGTCCCTCGCTCGTCCAAACACAGTCAGGGCCTGCCCTTGGCCAACAGTTAGGAGATGAATGGGGCAGGACAGGCTCTACCCTCAAGGAGCCTAGAGCCTGGTCGGTGGATGAGGTGAGGGGCAGCCAACGCCGTGTGATGAGAAGGCTGCGTGTGGGATGGGGGAAGGGGCCAGGGCTGACACCCGAGCTGAAAGGGCAGCGGGTCGACCAGGAAACAGGAGCAGGCAGAAACACCCAGGAAGGACTGGCAGCTGGACTGTGCACAGCTATGAAGGGCAGAGCGGAAACAGGAACAGTGAGAAGAACAGACAGGACCAGCTCCCGAGGGAGTCAGTATGATGTCCAAACCAAGGAACCAGCCAAACTCCTCTGATCCACGTGTCAGACTTGAGCAGCAGATAGATGAGGAGGTGGAGAGGGCAGCAGCGAAACAACCAGGAGGAGCCTGGATCACGTCCTGCCCATTTTCACCGAGGGGAAGGCCAAGCAAAGAGCTGAGCAGCCCACGTCCTACTGCAAGGCCCTGCAGACATCACCAATTGAACACACACTCCCCTGAGCCTGATGTGGCCTGGAAACCCACCCTTCTCAGTTCAGTGCTAGGCCATGTTAGCATTCCCCTGAGGCTGAACTACAAGCCCTGTGAGAGCAGAAACCCTGTGTGCTTGTATCATAGCTGCGTTCTCAGGGCCTGGCTGGTCTTGGGCATAGCAGCTGCTCAGTAAGTCTGTCTCCACCTGTCTCCTCCCACCACTGCGGGCACCTGTGTCTCACGTGGTTTAGCTCTGGGATATGGGATTCAGGCTCTGCACGTTCCCTGGCATCTCCCGAAGGTCCCACGTGATGAAGGGCTGGCTGAGGACAGTCAAGATGTGAACAGAACGGCTGACACGCTCATCACCTTCAGAGCAGCTGGACTGTCAAAGCACAGGGAGGCAGGGACGGGAGTCGTGCAGACCTTCCGACACCCCTGGAGGGCCCTGGGGCAGAGCCGTTGAGCTTTTCACAGTGCCCTTGCCTGCAAACCAGAACACCAGGCCCCCTGACACAGGCCTTTCCCAAGAATCTCTCCCACGCCAGCAGATCCAAGAATGTGAGCCAGCAGAGCCCGCTGAGCTGAGGAACTCCGTACCTGCTGGGACTGCCTCTTCTGGGTGGACTGTGACCACAACTGGAAACACTTGCGAAGCAATGTTATTCTGAAAGGAAACACACCACCAAGGGAATTACCCTCCCACTTCCAGGTTTCTAAAACTGTGTTTTGACTTTAAGGAAGGTGAACCTGGGTGCAGGTACTCCTTGAGCAATGCAGGGGGCTCAGGGGTTCCATTCTAGAAGCGAAGGAAATAATCTGATTTCTGACATGAAATCCACCAACCTGATTTTGGACTGTGGCCTGCCCCTCCAAATTTAACAGCTTTCATGTAAACCTAATTGGACCACCAAGGACAGTGAATTTGGAATTAGGTAATATTAGGTAATATCTATGAAATCCCCCAAATATGCTGAACTTTCTGGTTTTATGGCCAAACTCTGGGGTCTTTTAGGACCATGTTGGTCTGTGACACACCTTCACAGTAATACTGAGATTGAGAACCACGTTCAGCTTTGTAAAACAGGATTTATAATAGTGATATACCCTGGCAGCTCCAATCTGCAGGCTAAGTACTGGGATTCTCACTGACTCAATAAAAGGTGCTCCAAAATTGGACCCATAGCTATGCAAATTAAGTTATACTCTTGGGGGAGGGTTTATTGAACATGTCTTACAGCAAGAAAATGAATAAAAAGTAATAAAAAATTTTTTAGAAAAGGGGATTCCCTGGCAATCCAGTGGTTAGGGCTCCTCACTCTCACTGCTGAGGACCCTGGTTCAATCCCTTGAGGGGAAATTAAAAATTTCACAAGCCACGAGGGGCAGTCAAAAAAAATTAAAAGTGAACAGTGGTTCCCTCTGAAGATTAAGCCGTTGAAGGAAGGAGTCCAGGCAGTCTTTATTTTTCACTTTCTACTTCTTCTCTATATATTCTGAGTTTTCCCTGTGGACATGTGGTGCTTCTATTTACTGAATATTTAACTGAGGACATGCTTCACACCCTCCAAGACCAAGCCACAAACACCCACCTGCATGGGACGTCTCTGTAACACTACTGATGCCTAAATTCCAAGACAGAACATCAGTAACACCTGAAAACTGAGGCACTGGTGGCCGAGCATCAGCACAAGCCTCCCACCTCCCGCCTCCCGCCTCATCAACCAAAAGGAAGAGGCAGGCGCAGGGACCACTGGCCCACGGCAGGGCCTTTCCAAATCTGCACAGTAACGTGGGAAGGGCAAGTGATGAATCCTGGAGACCAGCAGGCCACAGCGGGCCCCTGGGGAGCCTGCCGGCCACATCCCTACCTGCTGTGGTCCCAGGCAGCACGCAGGAAGGGCAGCTGCTCTCTTTCCTCCCTCTGCTCGAGCCGCAACTGCCAGAGGTTCCAGGCCCTGTGCAGCAGCTGAAGCAAAACAAGAAGAAAATGGAAGTTCATTAACGCAAAACGATCTCTCCTGACCCATTAGGTAGTGAATCAGTAACTCCAGAAGATGCAGGAATTACCTAAATTTGGAACACCCCACATGTAACAGACTTGAAAAATAATTACGACCAAACTATATGGAACTATTCTGGGCCAACACAAAAAACAAACAGCTGGATCTATCAGATCTGTGGAAATCAAAATGAAGAAGCTGTTCCTAATCGGGGCCTCATGGAGGCCAACACCATTTTAGAAATTAAAACTGATATTATCACATATTACTAGTTTTGAATCTTTTGTGACCCCATGGGCCGCAGTCCACCATGCTCCTCTGTCCATGGGCTTCCCAGGGAAGAATACTGGAGTGAGTTGCCATTTCTTGCTCCAGAAGATCTTCCCAATGCAGGGAAACCTGGATCTCTTGAATCTCCTGCATTGGCAGGTGGATTCTTTACCCTGGTGAGGGAAGCTCACTGTCTATGAAGTAGTCTTGCCAAAACACATTTAACTTCAATCTAGTCAAGCCCTTAGATCTAATTTCCAGTTCATAAGAGCTACATAGGAAAAAGGGAAATCAAATGACATCAAAAGTAAACAGAAAAATGGAGAATAGGAAGACTCTACAAAATAACTGGTCTTCCTTTTCAAAAGTCAATGCCATTAAAAATACATGATGCTAAATGCAATGAGCCAGTCACAAAAGGGCAAAATTCTATAAATATGAGGAACCTGGAACAGTCAAATTCACAGAGACAGGAAGGAGAGTGGTGGTTGCCAGAGGCTAGGGGAGGTGGAGGAGACTGGGATTTATTGGTTCTGCAAGATGAAAGGATTCTGGAGATGGATGATGGCTGCACAATAATGTCAATGTACTTAATGCCACTGAACTGTACGCTTAATGGTTAAGATGATAAACTTCATGTTTTTTACCACAATTAAAAAATAAACATGTTAAACAAAAGAAATGGGGGATGGGGGAAGCTTATTGATTTATTAGAGACATAACCCAATGTAGTAAGTCATCAATCTTTAATTGAATCCTGGCCTGTAAAAATCAACTATAAACACATCTGGGTCAGGGGCAACTGAGTTTGAATATGTGCTCGGTACTGGTTAATATTGGGCTTCTCAGGTGGCCCTAGTGGTAAAGAATCCTGCCGATGCAAGAGATACCAGTTCGATCCCTGGGTCAGGAAGATCCCCTGGAGTAAGAAATGGCAACCCACTCCAGTATTCTTGCCTGGAAAATCCCATGGATAGAGGAACCTGGCAGGCTACAGTCCAAGGGGTTGCAAAGAGTTGGACATGACTGAGTGACTGAGCACACACTGGTTAATATTAGAGTATTACTATTCGTTTTGTTAGGGATGATAATGATATTGTGGTTATAGAGCAAAATGTTCTTATTTGGGGGCAATGCATACTGAAATGTTTAGATGTAAAGTGTCATAACATCTGTAATTTACTTTGAAATGACTCAGGGGAAAAAAGCAAATGTTAACAATTGTTGAACTTAAATGGTAAAGTAAACTGAGGTTTACTATACTACTTTTTATATTTTTTCTGTACATTTGAACACTTTCACAATTACAAAACCCCTTCTACGCCCAGAAGCATAATTGACAAATGAAGGTAGAATATTGGTTACCCTCAGGAAAATTAACCACTGAAGATGACAGATGCATGGCGCAAACAGTACCAAAGGCCCTGGGATGCAGGACTTAAAAGTCTATTCCCCAGGTCAAGGCTGAATCCACAGTCCTTGACCTCTGATTCAACTACCATTTTTTTTTTTTAAGCAAACAGATAAAAAACGGCATTACATAAGAGAAAAAACAAGAGTTTCTCTATCCTATGGTATGGATCACTGAAGAAAACGGACCTGAAGGGTTTGGAGTCTCAAGATCTGAACAAACCTCTTAAGCACAAAGGTTAGAAAAAGAAAGAAGGGCTATCAGAAGAGGTGCCTTGGTACAGAAGAGGGCTCACCATGACATCACGCTGCTGGTGAGCAAGATTCCTTCTTATCCGTTGGAGACGGGCATGGGTCACGCTGTCCTTCAGGGCTCTAAAGCAAAAGTGCTACGAAGAAAGGACAGACACAGTCAGCGGTGTGCCTGTGACAGTAAGCTCAATGCCGGAGAAGGTGGTGAGAAGCTCAGCCACGGCTGTTCACAGATGCTCCCAGGTCCCAGGCAGTGTTTCTCAGCTTTGAGATTCAATTGGGAGCCTGATGCAAGCCAGCCCACGCAGCAGGCACTTAATAAACACTCCCTGTTGCCCATAGGTACTGCACACACAGGAACAAATCACCCTCACCTCTGACCAGAAGTCCCTGTGACCCACACAGAAACACCAGACAAAGGTCAAAATATCACCACTGCCTCTCAGAAAAGAGACAGACTTTCAGCTTATGGTGGGTTTACTTTATTTTTTTACCATGTGGGGTCAACGTGTACACTTGGTTCAGTTGCTAAGTCATGTTCAACTCTTTGTGATTCCACGGAATGCAGCACCCCAGGCTTCCCTGTCCTTCACTATCTCCCGGAGTTTGCTCAAACTCATGTCCACTGAGTCAGTCATGCCATCCAACCATCTCATCCTGTCGCCCCCTTCTCCTCCTGCCTTCAATCTTTCCCAACATCAGGGTCTTTTCCAATGAGTCAGTTCTTCGCATATGTGGCCAAAGTATTCGAGCTTCAGCATTAGTCCTTCCAATGAATACCGAGAGTTGATTTGCTTTAGGATAGACTGGTTTGATTTCCCTGAAGTCCAAGGAACTCTCAAGAGTCTTCTCAAAAAAAAAAAAAAAAAAGTCTTCCCCAGCACCAGGTTCGAAAGCATCAATTCTCTGGCGCTCAGCCTTCTTTATGGTCCAACTGTCATACCTGTACATGACTACTGGAAAAACCATAGCTTTGACTAGATGGACCTTGGCTGGCAAATTGATGTCTCTACTTTTTAATATGCTATCTCGGTTTGTCAGCTTTTCTTAACATATCTCTTTTCTTTAATATGTTATCTTGGTTGAAGTTTTTTTTCAAGGAGTAAATGACTTTTATTTTATTTTATGACTTTTAATTTCATGGCTGCAGTCACCATCCACAGCAATTTTGGAACTCCCCAAAATAAAGTCTGTCACTGTTTCTGTTGTTTCCCCATCTATTTGCCATGAAGTGATGGGACCAGATACCATGATCTTTGTTTTTTGAAGGCTGAGTTTTAAGCCAGCTTTACCCTCTTCTTTCACCTTCAGCAAGAGGCTCTTTAGTTCCTCTTGGCTTTCTGTCATTAGGGTGGTATCACCTGCATATCTGTAGTTGTTGCTATTCCTCCTGGCAATCTTGTATATTTACACAACTGCAAATGCAGTTTTGCAGAGTAGAACAGAAGGAAAAGAAGTGATCTTTGGTAACAGAGGTGGGGGAACAGGGACAAGACACGCTGGCTCCAGCTCCGTCCAAAATGCTTCACGGGTGACTAAGCACAGCCCATGCTCCACAGGCTGACTTCAGTTTTCTGAGACAGAGAAGAAGCACCTAGGGGTTTTCACAGAGTGTTCTGTGGGCCTCCAGAGGCTCCTGACAGTATCTGGAGGCCACCTTGTGTGGTGAGGGTAGGGGAGAGCAGCTGGCAAAATGGACACTATTCCCAGACCTGGCTTTGTCCACCGCACCTCAACTTGGATTGATTTTCAAGACTTGGCCTCCACCATTTAAAAAGGGGGCCTACCGTGTCGACACCCCAGGACTAGATAGCTTCTAAGGCTCCTCTGCAGCTCCCAACCCTTCTGACCCCACACCGCCACCGTCTCTGATCCAAAATTAAAATCAGGACATGACAATGAAGGGGGCTCTCTGACGAGTGCCAGTCGCACCACCAGACGCACTTAAAGAGTATGACGGGGGTCGGGCCCCCCAAGAACAGACGCCCGAGCACGGCTGCGGCGCCCTTACCAGCAGGCTGCGCCTGTGGTGCTCTCTCGCCGCCTTCCACCGCTCAGCCGCTTCTGTGCACAGCAGCACATCTGCCTGAGTCAAGGCTTCTTGTCTCGACAAGGCCCCGCCCCAGGACGGCGCGACCCCAGTGACCCGTCCCAAGGGTCCCAGCTGCAGGTGACAACGGGCAAGCCAGGAGGGCTGGTGTCCGCCTTGACGACCCAGGGAAGAGAGGATTGAGGGGAACCACCATGTGAGCTATTTATCTGCCTTTCTCCCCTCTGATGCCTGCTTCATGAGAGGCAAAAATAGTCGAGATAAACTGCTACCAGTTGGAGTAAACATTTCAAAATCTCAGCAGAACCTGCTCCAAGCTTTTCCGCACTCTCTGTTTTGGCAGCACAATCCAGTCAGATGTCTGAGCTAAAAGCCTTGGAGTTATTTTCAATCCCTTTCTCCTCCTACCCCTCCATCTCTCAGCTGCCAAGTCCATCTGCTCCCCTCCTTGTCTCCACGTTCTGTCCCCACCCCCAGCACTGGGCCAGGCACCAGACTCGAGTGGTCCCCTGTGCCAACTTCACTCCCACCATCGAGCCTCGTCCTTCCAGAAGTACAGATCTGCTGCATCGCTACTCAAAAGCCTGCAGGGGATCCTCAGTGTACCAGGATGAAGCCCAGATTCCTGGCCACCCACATCATGAGCCGGTCCGCAGCCTGTATCTGCCTGCCCCTAACACCCCACAACGCACTGCAGGCCCCGGTCACCACCCCAGGTGCTCTTCCTCATCCACACCTGCGTAAATGCCACTCCTTATACCTGAACCGCCTCTCCTGATTCCCCCGTCAGGAGAACGTGTCAGCCCCCAAGGCTTAAATTCAGCTCAAACATCAATTACCTCTTTGGCTAGGTCTCCACAGCAGCTCTAGCAGGACTTAATACAGACCTTTATGATAGTACTTATCACACCACATTTACACAGACTGGTTTTCATGTCTATTTTCCCCAGTTGACAATGAGCTATTGTTAAGTCTCTAGGTTTCCCTGTATTCCAGAACTCAGGGGTTTAAAACAAGAGTTCAGTGAACAAACGAAAACGTGAGTGAATACCCAGGGCAGTCCAAATCCTAAGCCTGGGCACAGACTGTGGCAGGGGTGGGGATTAAGAAAGTACACTGAAGTCAGAAGCCTGGTTCTGCCAATGAGATTGAAAATCACTTAGCATCCCCGACTCCGCTTCCTCATCTGTGAGACGGAGATCGTAACACCCACTCCACAGGGTTGCTATGAGGATTAAGGAGATAATCACAATGTCTGCACATAGCAACAGCTCAATGAACAGAAGCTGGGATTGTAACAACATGGCCGCCAAGGACAGAAGGCTTTCTGAAACAGAAGTAAAATGAAATAAACTTCTGAAGCAGAAATGGCATGGCTCTTTCCACCATATAATGGGCAGGAAGAAAAGGATGAAATGCAGGATGCTTCTGAGGGGGAGGAAAGGGAATACAGTCAGGGAGGAGCAGACTGGAGTGTGTGCGATTTTCTATTGAGTTGTGTTCATTTTACTATTATTCTTTAAACTACAAATGTTTGTTATATGCACTCTTTTGTATGAGTATTCCCAGAATGGAACAAATTTTTTTTTAAAAAAGCCGACCAGAGATCAGGACTGTCCCAAACTGCTGGGTAACCATTTCCCACGTATCTCCTGACTGTCTTACAGGCTGCCAGGCTCTCACTGTCTTGGTTGAGCTGGAGGACAGTCCTGAGAAATGCAAAGGATACAGTGTTTCCAGTGAGTCAAGGCCCTCCGCAGCAGCGTCCTCCTGACCAGTCCCTCCACCTGCGCGTGGTGGGCGTGCAGGCTCTCCCTCCGCTCCCAGGCCTGCCACCAGGCACAGAAGTGCGTCTGGAGCAGGGTGATGTGGTGGAATCGCTCGGCCACCCCTGCAACAGAGAAAGGAGCTTCAGTGCTGCCCCCTCAAGGCTGGGCAACAAGCTGAAGGCATCTCTAAGACGAGCTGAAACCCACCACTGGCATGCAGCAGGGATTCAAGGCAGCTGCTCTCCAGAGAACGTTAGAAAAAAAGGGTTTTGAACAGAGGAGGGTTACTATGAACTCCTTAGCTACACAATTCCTCTCTCCAAGGAAAGAGAAAAGGATTCTGTCAATGGACCGAAGCTCCTTGGTTAGTGACTGAGGAGCAGGAACGGGGACAGCTGTTTCTAAAGAAAACTCCGTTTTACTCCTGCCTCTTTACCGGCATTTCGGGACTTCAGGGAATGAGTCAGTGACACACGACCCAGTCGACATGCTGGCAGAGGCTTCTGTGAGCCTTCAGCCAGGCTGATACAGGCCACCGGCTCCATCTCCTTTTAAGACTAATTAGCTAATGGCCTGATGAGCTTAAGGCCAGAGAGGGGGAGGGCATTGGTGCTGGAATGAGAATGCCTTAAGTGAAGGCAAGTATTAGTCTGCAGCTCATCATTAAATAGCTTCATGCCTTCAATTTCCAGGCTTGGGCATCCAGACAGTGGGTCCCTTGTCACTATTTTCAAGTGGGCACATTAGATCTCCCAAGAGACAGTGCTGGTAGGCTAGGAATCCTGCAGGAAGCAGGAGAGCCTAACCCTGTGGCCAGGACTTCTGTGTGGGCTCGAGAAACTAAAGGACAAAAAGTACTGGCATTCATGACCAATTTATCGTTACTTCTGACCTACTGTGGGAAAACTAAACCATCAGGATAGTGCTCAGAAAACATCATAAATCATGCATCTGCATAACTAGGGACAAACAATCCAAATATCTGTTTTCTCTCTCTTTTTTTGACACATCACACAGCTTATGGGCTTTTAGTTCCCCAACCAAAGATCAAGCCCTCGCCCTCAGCAGTGACAGGATGGAGTCCTAACACTGGACTGCCACGGATTTCCCCAAACATCTATTAATAGAAGAATGACTAAGCAGATTAAGGTAAGCACCCCCCTGTAAAACACAGTCATTTAAAAAAAAAAAAAAATTATGGGATTTCCCTGGCGGTCCAGTGGTTAAGACTTCATCTTCTGGATAGTTAGTAAGTCTGGGATGGATATGTACACACTGCTGTATTTTAAATGGATAATCAACAAGGACCTACTGTATAACACAAGGAACTCTGCCCAATGTTATCTGGCAGCCTGGATGGGAGGGGAGTTTGGTGGCAAATGGATACATGTATATGTATGGCTGAGTCCCCATGTGAAACTATCATAACGTTGTTCATTAGGCTATACCCCAAAATAAAATAAAAAGTTAAAAAAAACAACTTCACCTTTCCAATTCAGGGGATGCAGGTTCGATCCCTGATCAGGGAGCCAAGATCTCACATGCCTTGTGGCCAAAAAACCAAAACATAAAACAGAAGCAATACTGTAGCAAATTCAACCACTTTAAAAATGGTCCCCACACACACAAAAAAAATTTTATAAAAAATAAAGACACAGGAAAGCATCGATTAGTTGTATGGAAAAAAGCAAGATACAAAACCGTACGTGTCATACTAATCATAATAATTGCAGTATATATAGCATAATTAAAATCCTACTGAATTAAATACATTGAATAGGAGCCTCTTCTGGAGACCTCCGGTCCCTTGAGGGGACGAGGACACAAAACACCACTGTAAAACAAGTCAGACACAACAAATACTGTACGAAGTCGCTTAGGCGTGGAATCTAAAAATACAACAGACCAGTGAATCAAACAAAAAAAAAGAAGCAGACTCAGATGTGTGGAGAAGAATATAGTGGTTGCCAGTGGGGAGGGGGCTTATTATGGGATTACATGAGATTGTGTGTGTGAAACCTTTGAAATTTATAAAGCTCTATAGAATGTAAAGAATCTTTCATTCAATAAAAAATAATAAAGAAAAAATTGAATAGAATATTGAAAAAGACCACAGAAGGAAATAACTTAAACGTGAATCAAGGACGCTTTATTGTCCTCCTCGATCTCTTCCTTCAAAATCTGTGGCGTAACTGCTACTACCTCCCGTTAATACACGACCACCCTGGCGGCAGTGGGCATGGCAACCCCCCTCTGCCCCTGGCGCCCAGGACTCACGGTTCTGTAGCCTCTTCTCTCTGCGCAGCTGCAGGTACTCCAGCCAGGCCCCGAGGGCTCTCCACTGCTGTCGGCGCTGAAGGTGTTTCACTGCAGAGACCGTCTTCCGTCTCTCCCTCCGGACAAAGAGAAGCTGCTCCTGCCACCGTGACCACGCCTGAAAACCAGAGAAAAGACAACCATTAAGGGAGGCAGGAAACCAGAGGTGAAATACAGGTGAGGGAAAACAGAAACCCACACGCTGCAAAGGGTGAAATCAGAAAACGAACAAGTGGCGATTCCAAAGCAGGCTCGTACGTGAAGGGGATTTGGAGTGAGAGGATCTTTGAGAAGGGCATTCTGGGACTTCCCTGGTGGTCCAGCGGTAAAGAATCCGCCTGCTGATGTGAGAGACACAGTTCGATCCCTGGCTGGGGAAGATTGCACATGCCTCAGGGCGACTAAGCCTGTGTACCACAAATACTGAACCTGTGTTCTAGAGCCCAGGAGCCACAACTGAAGGCTGTGTGCTGCAGCTACAGAGGCCCAGAGGCCCGAGAGCCCATGCTCTGCAACAAGAGAAGTCACTGAGCTGAGAAGGCTGCACACTACAGCGGGAGTGGCCCCTGCTCAGTGCAACTAGAGAGAGCCCTCAGAACAACGAAGATCCAGATAGGGTTGTTGGTTTTTTTCCTGGATTAAGAGGGAAAAAAGAAAAGAAGAGGAATAATAAAATTAATGACTTTACAAGAAGCAGGGACAATCCAAGGGTTGGTATAATTAATTCAGATCTGGGACAGGTGAGGCTCTGTCTTTTCCTCCAAAGGCAGAGGAAGCCTATGGTCGAGGCCCTTTCTCAGCATGTGCGTCCACAGGACATGGATCTACAGAAACCGAGGGTCTGCAGACGGATTCCCTTAAGATTATCCATAAACGGGCACCCTTGGGAAGGTCTTCGTGCACACCCAGCAATACGCCTGCCCTACTCTAAAGGCAACGGTCATAGATGACTTGATACCTTCTTTTATACCTTCATACCTCTGTAAACCTGTGACATCCCTTCTCCCTTTCTTCATCTCATCTGAATATCATTTTTTCTATTTCTCCAAGAAAATAAAAGCAATCAAAAGACAATTTTCTCAAGCTCCCACACATCCTCCAGGGGCTCGGCCTTCTCTCCACATTCCCAACAAAAGGTCACCCCTGCCACGGACAGAGCCCATCTTTTCTCATCTTCTGAAGTGTATCACTCTGGCAATTACCCCCATTCCCTTCCTGCATCATCAGCTTTCTCTCTCTGCTAGATTTTTAAAATCAGCATTCAAACGTGCTGTTATTTCTCCCTTTGGGAATGTGACAACCGAAAGCAATGGGTGGCCTTTGATTAGGCCCTAGATCTGACACGAAGAGCAACAATATACAGCTGCAATACAAACTGTAGTCTCGATATTATCATATCAACATTACACTTCTTAGATATAACAGTGAGGATGTGGTTATATAAGAAAACATCCCTGTTTTAGGAGATATGAACTGAAGTATTCAGGGTGGGGGCATCCCTGATTGCTCAGTTGGTAAAGAATTCCCCTGCGATGCAGGAGACCCTGGTTTGATTCCTGGTTCGGGAAGATCCTCTGGAGAAGGGATAGGCTACCCACTCCAGTATTCTGGCCTAGAGAATTCTATGAACTATATGAGTCCATGGGGTAACAAAGAGTTGGACACGACTGAGTGACTTTCACTCAGGATTAAACTTGATGTCTGCAACTTTAAAGTGACTCAGAAAATACAACTGATACACTTGAGAAAGCAAATGTGGGAAGATGCTAAGAATGGGTTAACCTAGTGAAGAATAGTGAGTATCCAGATTTTCTGAGTATCCAGATTTTCTGTGATTTGGTACTTGTCGAAATTAAAAAATTGAGGGTAAAAGTTGCAGACTATTGTGACACTAGACTTCACTCTTGGTCCAGTAATTAAGAATCTGTCTGCCAATGCAGGGGACAGAGGTTCAATCCCTGGTTCAGGAAGATGCCACAAGCCTCAGGGCAACTAAGCCCGTTCCTGGGCCTGCATGCCTAGAGCTCAAGCTCTGCAACAAGAGAAGCCACCACAGTGGGAAGCCCATGCACTGTAGCCAGAGACAGCTCGCGTGCAGCAATGAAGACCTGGCCATAAATAAATAAAACTACAAAAGATTATCACCACACAAATACTTCTGGAAGGGAATACATCAGTGAGCCTCAAACCAACCACCCAACAGCCCTCTCCAGACCACTCGGCCACCAACACCCAAGTGCTCTCCTTTCCTTTCCAAACTCCTCAGAAGGGCTGTCTACTTTCTCACTTCTCTTCTCCCAACAAGCAGGGAGATCCTCTCCTCCTTGAGTTCACTGAAACTGCTTTTATCAAGGGCACCAATGACCTCCACGTGTTCAATCCAAAGGTCAAACCTCAGTCCTCGCCTGCCAGAAGCGTCTGACACAGCTCATCGTCTCCACCAGGCTCCTCGCCTCCGCCTCTCCTCTCTCCCACCGCCCATTCCCATCCCTTCACCAGTCAGGCTCAGACTCAGTGCCGCTGGCTACACCCACTCCTCTGTGCTTTCAATCAGTCTCGTGGCTCCAAGTGAAACCTGTGTGCTGAGGACTCCTGAGTTTACCTCTCCGGTGTGGACTCAAGACTCCACACGCACACATCCAGCTCCTCCCTGACACCCCCGTGTAGTCAAGGGAAAGGCCCATCAGGCTGAAGACACGGAGCTCGGCATGCAGCTCCTCCCCATCTTTCCCCACAAACCCACCTCTCCCCCCATCTCCCCCATCTCAGTAAACAGCAACTCCACTGGTCTAGTGACTCAGGCCCGAACACCTGGGAGTCCTCTCAGACTTTTTCTCTGAAAGCTCACACCTTATCCATCCAGTAGCAAACCCTGTTGGCAATACCTTCAAAACATACCCAGAATCCAACACCAGCTTGCTCTCATCTTGGCCCAGAACCTCTCCTGGAACTGTGTAATCATGTCCTAACTGTCCTCCCTGCTTTTATCCTTGATTTTCCGTGGTCTGTTCTTAGCACAGCAGCCAGTGGCCCTTTTTCATTAGTTGTGATTGCTTTGTAACTTAAATCTCTCCATTTTGCTGCTTATTTTTAAATAATTCTTTTTTATTTGGCTGTGCCAAGTCTTAGTTGTGGCACTCAGGATCTTCTATTAGGTTGGTGCAAAAGTGATTGTGGTTTTCCATTGTTGAACTTTGCCACTTGATACTGGAATACATTCTTAAATGTGGTTATGTTACACATCATTTTAATGTGCATTTCTTGCTTTATTTTTCTCCTAATGACTTATTACTTGCTGTTTATATTTATTTTGGACTATGGAAATGCTGTTAGACAAAAGGCAAATTCGAGCAGTTTTCTTATTCAAGTTCAAAATGGGCTGCAAAGCAGTAGAGACAACTCGCAACATCAACAACACATTTGGGTCAGGAACTGCTAAGGAACGTACAGCGCAGTGGTGGTTCAAGAAGTTTTGCAAAGGAGACAAGAGCCTTGAAGAAGAGGAGCACAGTGGCTGGCCATTGAAAGCTGATGACAACCAGCTGAGAAGATCATAGAAGCTGATCTCTTACAACTATACAAGAAATTGGCACAGAACTCAACATCAACCATTCTATGGTTATTCGGCATTTGGAAACTGGAAAGGTGAAAAAGCTCAATTAAGTGGGTACCTCATAAGCTGACCAAAAATAAAAAAAACTCGTCACTTTGAAGTGCTGTCTTCTCTTATTCCATGCAACAACAATGAACCACTTCTCAATAGGATTGTGATGTGCGACAAAAAATGGATTTTATATGACAACTGGCGGTGACCAGCTCAGTGGCTGGACCGAGAAACAGCTCCACAGCACTTCCCAAAGCCAGACTTGGATCAGAAAAGGTGTCACGGTTACTGTTTGCTGCTCTGCGCCCATCTGATCCACTAAAGCTTTCTGAATCCCAGTGAAACCATTACATCTGAGAAATGCGCTCAGCAAGTCAAGATGCACCGAACACTGCAACGCCTGCAGGCGGCACTTGTCAACAGAAAGGGTCCAATTCTCAGCAACACCACCTGACTGCCTGTCACACAATCAAGGCTTCAAAAGTTGAACAAATCGGATCTTACATTCTGCCTCATCCGCCAGATTCACCTGACCTCTTGCCAATCAACTACTACTTCTTCAAGCATCTCAACCTTTTGCAGGGAAAATGCTTCCATAACCAGGAGGACACAGAAAATGTTTTCCAAGAGTTCATCAAATTCTGAAGCATGGATTTTTATGCTATAGGAATAAACAAACTCATTTCTTGTTGGCAAAAATGTGTTGACTGTAATGGTTCCTATTTTAATTAATAAAGATATATATGAGCCCAGGTATGATGATTTAAAATTCAGGGTCCAAAACCACAATTACTGCTGCACCAACCTTAAAATCTTTATCGTGGCATGCAGGATCCAGTTCCCTGACCAGGTATCAAGTCCCTGCATTGGGAACTTGGAGTCTTAGCCACTGGACCGCCAGGGAAGTCCCTAAATCTCTCCATTTTTTATGACAATTTCCCTCTCACCCTTTTTTCTCTTCATGCTACTAACCTGTTAAGGAGAAACCAGGTCACGTACCCTATAAACTGTTCCATGTCTTAGATTTGGCCAACTGTCTCCTCCTGGTGTCTTTAAATTGCCCTTCCAATTCCCGTGTTTCCCACAAACTGATATTAAGATTCATGTGAGGCTTGGCTGGAGTCATGTTCAAATTCTAGGCAGGGGCATGTCTCAAGTGCTGCGGGGTCCTTCCAGTTACATCACAACATGGAAGGCTGCCTTAGCTTTAGTGACTGCTCGGTGGCCTCAGAGGCATCGGTCTGACCCTCCCTTACATTTCTCTATTGTGTTTCCACTGGTGACTACTGCCCAGATCCACTTTATCACTGGGAGGAAAAACAACAATTTTCTAATTCTAGTACTCCTGAATTTGTTTATTAACTGGAATTCTATTTTTTTTAAAAAGCCTTATTCTCTCATTAACCCTCTCATTTCTCAGAGATTAGTCTGTACAGGAAAGGCAGGATAAATGCTTGACTTTGGTCTTCATTAATTTCCAAAGAATAGAATTAACGCTCTAACAACCCAAAATT